GCAATTTCTTGCGGTAGTCATATTTGTAACAAAATCATATTAACCGAATTATTCATATCTCATTATCACTAATCATATGCAAGGTTTTCAAAGAGTTGAATGCACTTCCTGGAACTTATAACAGAAATTGATTTTGAAGGAGCGTCTCGACTTCTCGTGTGCGTTGTTCGGTCCGGATGGCGGTTTAATCGCTAATGCACCTCATATTCCTGTTCATTTAGGTGAGGGAAGCACAACATTCCATTCAATTTTTGCCTTTCAACAATTTTTTCGAACAGATAACACTCAAATAACCTTATCCGTTGTATTATCAAAAATACAATTGAAATTTAACGTTATGAAAAGAGAGCAGAGTATTTAGGTAATTTCTCGATCTGCTCACCTCGATCTTTCCTCACAATCAGTCTTTTACCTCGATTTCAGTTGATCTTCGAAATGTGTCCCTTTGGGCTTTGCTAATCGTATCAATGAATTTGAGGCGGCATGCAAGCAACGGTGCGATTTCAAATCGAGCATTTGGGTTTTGAGGGGATGCGTGACGACGATGTGATTTTGTGTAATCATCCAAGAGCTGGTGGCTCTCATCTGCCTGACTTGACCGTTATCACACCGGTTCGTTCGTTCGTTTTCTTTTTTGGCTCTTCATTCATTTGTGAATCTTTTCTCAAATCAGCTGAACATTGAATCCATGAATTCATCCGTTCAGTTAAGTTTTTGCAAGAGCATATATCACTCGAAGTTTGCAATTCCTTCTGGAGTATCTGTACAACTCATCAGTATTCTAGTAAGATAAAATTTGACCAAAAATTTTACAGCGACAACACTTAATGTTTGGAAGTTGTGGTTGTTCATTGTGTGTAGCAGCAGGAATTCCAGGTTTATTACAAGGGCTCAAAAAGGCCCGTATTTTTTGTCGCGAATCGAGGTCATCACGCAGACATCGGTGGTCTAGTGCCCGGATCGATGCCACCTCATTCGACCAGCTTGGATCAGGTACTTTAATTGGGCAGTTGATGAATACTTGATCAACTTTTGTGGTGGTGGTATTGGCACAATCGCTTTCCTTTAGTTATGCTTGGTCATATTCAGTCGTAATATT